GTGGTTAGAGCAGGCATGCATTGTAGCACAGCTGTACGGGCGAACATAGCCGAGATAGCAACATTCTGAGAACATTCTCTTCCTGATACCAAGAAATATTTCTAGATAAAGAGACCTGCATGCTTCTAATTCAATGTGCTTGTTCTTCCATTGTTCAAAAAACAATCCATAATGCATTCTGTTGCCTTATATTTGTGTACATTTTCTCCTAATGCATACTGGTATGTTAAATGGCCCTACAATGTGTATGTGGGTGCGTATTTGTTTAAGAGAGACAATTGCTTTGAAGAATTGTCCTGTGTTAGTGTGAAACAGCCATTGGTCGCATTGGTATCGTGTTGTTTCTTGGTGAAGCTAAAATAAAGTGTTCATAAAAGCAATATGTATGCCATTGCTTACTTGCCCGCAGCCTCCAACCATCTCTTGTCTTGGTATTCGCCTTTCCAGGATCCAGATTTGTTTTAGCTGTTTGTACCCAATGCATTATATGTCGTTTGAAGACACTTGAAGGTACTCATAAATAAGAGAGTCATTCCATATAACTAATTTCAGCCAGACTGGTTTGCAATCTTCATGTCTATGCCACAAGCCGGTCATTGTTGGAGAAACAAGCAAATAACTGGTTTGAGTCTTTGGCCAAGCAATATTGCCCACCCTTGTGGGTATTTGAACATACTGCTCCCTCCTCCATAAATGTAAACATGTATGCACAGACAATCTAAGCAAACATGATAGTTTTTAATAGCCAATACAACCAACAAGCTTTTGATGTCTATGGCTATTTTTTTAGTATTATCAACCCACATGCATTAGGCCAACCATACATGGAATTTCGATTGATGTATGAGCACCTTTGTAGTGCAGACATTGATATACCTATTGACTTCTGTACAACCAGCCTATTGTGTTTTCCCTATTGATCAGTGCTGCCAGCTAAAGCCTCCCCACCATCAGAACACAATAGTAAAATGAGAAGTTTCCCCCATCTAACATTCAATGTTAGAATCATTTTTTTTTCTTTCAACCCGCTGGTTGAATTAATAAAAACAAATAGTGAATGTATGTATGAGCTGTACTGTTATCTTCTGGCTGCATGATTGGTTATAAATATATCTTGTTGATACAATTATAAGGTTCTTCTTTTGTAGTTTTTGTATAGAACTCTAGTGATGTTTCCAGGGGCGGACTGACAACTCATGGGGCCCCCCGGGGCGATAGGGGATCATGGGGCCCCTGAGTCCTTGCCCAAACTCAAAAAAGCCTATGAAAAAGGTACCAGGGGCATCTTATGGGGCCCCCTACTGACCCTGGGCCCTCGGGCAGTGCCCGGGTTTCCAAATGGTCAGTCCGCCCCTGGATGTTTCCATTATGGTGTAGTTTGCTGCACGACTTTAGTCATCAATAAATGTGAACTTCATCATAAAGGGTCAGAGTGTTAAATGTTGTGTTAGTTTTCCCAACTGACATGCAGATCTAGGACCCATGGGTAAGATGTTCATAAATACAAACTTCTGCCATTTGGAAGGACCAGAACATTGAAAGTTGTGATGGTTTTCCCAACTACATATACATTAATTGCTTCAGAAAAATTTCTTACCTAGCTAAATTGGTCTTCTGGCATATCTTCTCATGACTAGCACCTAACACCTTCCTCATCCTGTTGATCAATTCTCAAGTTGGCATTTGTCTGGTGTGACCCCTATGTGTCTACATGTGGCCAGCTTGTACGGTGGTACTCAAACTGTCTGTACAATAATGCATGCCAGAGTATGGATATGTTTAGGCCATCAATATATAGTCCAAACTGTTCTGGAGGATTATGGACAGTGGAAGGATCTGTGCATTGTTGCTAATGACACAGACTTGGCATCACTTTTCCACCCAACTTGGGTGGACAGTAATTGCTGTTTAAGAGATGGTCTGAAAAAGGTTACATGAAAAATCAGTTTTTACATGCTCAATATAACTTTGGGGTTCATTTCCACAATGCCAGATGAATCTGAGAAATGCTCAGACTGGTTTCAGGTTGTGCTAAAATTAGACCACGTATGGTGGTCCTATAGATTGTGTGTTTTCTGAAAAGAAATAGATAAATGAAAGCACAATAACAGTTTTGATGGATATCTTAACAAAAGGCTCTGCAAATATGGAGTTAAAATGATTCCCTTCTTTTAAACCATGTCACATTCTGTAGAGGTTGCTAAGTAATAGACTTGCCCTGAGGCAAGACCTCTTGTGTCTTGGGTAACAGATGAAACTGTCAGGGCAATAGGCCTTCGTTGTTGTCTCATTGTTTTCCATGGTAGAGCACTCTCATAAATACAATATGTATCTGGAAAGGACAAGCAGCTCAGGGGTTATCAGAAGTACCCTGTTAGTTCTGTTAAAAGCTTACTGGGCCAGCATTTTTTGAGAAACAAAATAAAAATGGTATCTTATCTGATGGTGAAAATGAAAACTTTATAACAATCTGGGTGTTTAGGTGGATGTGGTTTTATCCAATGACCGTGAAAGCATTGCTTGTGCTAAAATAAAGTGAACTATGTATTTGTTCCAGAAATACTCTGACACAAACAGAATGTGAGAAGAACGTTTCCATGACTTTCTTTTGCTGCCAGTCGCTTACTAACCCCTCACCGTGCCTGCCAGCAAGGCAGCTGACAATTTAAGAGGCATTTTATTGATTTTAACATGTTGATTTCCCACTAAATACATTGTCACTACTGCTCAGTCAAAAAGTAAAATAAGATCTAGACCTGATGTATGAATACAAGAAAATAATGGCATATCATGAGTGTAAATCTTAAAAATTGCACAAGCAAGGAGACTATTGAGAGACCTACAGAAAGGGCCCACAACAAAGACACCCTGTGGCTTCAATGTGACCTAAGTCTGTTATGCAAACCCTTCAAGTTACTTTGGGATGGTACTCTGTGGCTCCATCTCTTCTTTTCTATTGAACCGTTATCTTCTGTTTACTATTTTTTCTGTTTACCCATTTTCCTATGTTTATAAGGAAACCACTATAGGATGAAAACTAAAGCTGGGTACACATGGGACAAAAATCGGCCAAAAAAAACGGTCAGTTTGGCCTTTGGCCCATATGTACAGCTGTCTCATGACCGGCTGCTATCAAATGGGCATGGTGGAAAACCAGCCTCCGAACAGCATCTGATCAGCATTGGCAGCCAATAGCTGCCAGCACTAATTAGTGTCTTTTGGCAAAGGGGGGTCCCCCTGACAGAACACAAAGACATGGCGGGGGAGATAACCTCACTAACATCGCTTGTGTTAGTATGGCGATCTCTCAGTTTTGTTTTTTTTTTCAGCCTACTGGGTTGAACAAAAAAAAAAAACTATAGTGTGTACAGGGCTTAAAGTAGAACTGTAGGCAAAACTTTTTTTTTCATTTTGTATAAAGTAAGTTAGGGTCATAACCCCTGTCAGATTTATTTTTCACCTTCTGTGTCCCAGTGTGGAGATTTCCCTTACTTCCTGTCCCATAGCCAAACAGGAAGTGAGAGGAAATCCTTGCAAATTAAGGGAATTCCTTGGGGACCCCCAGGTCATCAAAACTAGTGTCCCCATTGGAAGATTTCCCCTCTATTACTTTTCTGGGGACAACCCAAAACTTAGGATTTTCTTTTATTTTCAATGATAATGGTAAACATTGGAGCTCAGATGAAGAAGTCATTACCTTTGAAACGCGTCAGCCTGTTAGGATCCTGGTGAGGTCCCCCTATGTTTTGGACTCTTCCAAGTCAAGGACTACAGGGCTAAGGACAAGTAGCTCAATAAGCTGCTACTATTCACGTTTGTGAGTATATTTTGTTGTTTTATAATAAATGCTGTGGGATAATGCACTAGGCTGGTGTGCCCTATTCTGTTAGTTTTTTTCATATTTAATATATTATGGTTCAATTGATCCATGTTAAAGTGACACTAAACGCTGGTTTAAAGAAAGAAAGGCCCATTCTATTGCTCTCAACCTCCTCCAAATTGCTTTATTTTTTTTTTTCTGTGACTTGATTTCCTGTTAGAGGGCGGCAACGTTTGCTAACCTTGGTCTCTCTGTGTGTAGGAGTGCAGCCACCTGTAAAGTGTGTAGAATATTGCACAAAGAAACTTCATGAAAAATTGATTATAGGGTCATTAAAGTGATTCTAAAGACTGAAGGTTTTTTACCTTTGTACATTCTATACATGAAAGTAGAAAAAAACCTTCTGTGTGCAGCTCCCCAATACATACCTGAGCCCAATCTCAATCTAGCAATGTGCATGAGAGCAGCGGCTCCCCCTGCTCTCTCTCTTCTCATTGGCTGAGACACAGGCTAACAGCCCCCACTACTATCGCAGCTAATGAGAAGGGAGCAGGAGCAGGAGCAGGACTAAGCCATGCTCTGTGTGTCCCATAGACACACAGAGCTGGCTCAGGAGCAAACCTTAACATGTGCTTCCAGAGCATGCAGCTTCCTCTGCGGGCACTCGGAAGGGGGAGGGGCCAGAAGCGGAGGACTTGAGAGGAGGAGGATTTAGGCTGCTCTATGCAAAACTATTGCACAGAGCAGCTAAGTATGATGTTTAATATTTTAAAGCAAAAAAAAAAATCTGAACCTTTAGAACCCTTTTAACTGCTTCCCGTCTACCCTTTAGCAGATATACTGCTACAGGGCAGCACAGGTGCGCAAAATCACGTACTGTATATATACATTATTTTGCATGTCCAGGTAGCGAGTGCACGTGAGACGCGTGTGCGCCCTATGAGCACCGCCATTCGCTACCGCGACTGTCAATCACTGGGTCCCGGCTGGTGATTACTTGATGGGGGGGGGGAGAACTATTTGTAAACCAAACAGTTCTCTCCCCTATCAGCTCCTGCACACTGCTTTGCATGGCTGTGAACAGCACAGCCATGCAAAGCAGTGTGTCACAGTGAAGCACAGACACAGCCCAGTATGCAAAACAGCACATAGTACACAGTTAACCCTTTGATCGCCCCACCAGGGGCGCACTGACAACTCACGGGGCCCTCGGGCAATAGGGTATCATGGGGCCCCTGTGTCCTTGCCCAAACTCAAAAAAGCCTATGAAAAAGGTACCAGGGGCATCTCATGGGGCCCCCTACTGACCCTGGGCCCTTGGGCAGTGCCCGAGTTTTCAAATGGTCAGTCTGCCCCTGCGCCCCACATGTTAACCCCTTCTTGCCCAGTGCCATTAGTACAGTGTCAGTGCTTTTTATTAGCACTGATCACTGTATTGGTGTCAATGAGGATGACAGTGACACCAAGTCAGTTCCCCCAAGTGTTAGAATGCCGAAGTTCAGCAGTCCCGCTATAAGTTGCTGATCACCATTACAAGTAACATTTTAAAATTTAAAAAAATCCCAGTATATATGCCACCATTTGTAAACGCTAGAACTTTCACATAAACCAATTAATTTACACGTATTGAGATTTTTTTTAGCAAAGACATGGAGCAGAATACATTTTGGCCTAAATTTATGATGAAATTAGATTTTTTAATTGTTTCTTACTGGACATGTTTAATAGCAAAAAGCCAAAAATAGTTTTTTTCTCAAAATTTTTTGGACTTTTTTTATTATAGTACAAAAAAAAAATGTGCCGTTGATCAAATACCACCGAAAGAAAGTTCTATTCATGGGGAAAAAAATATGTAAATTTCATTTGGGTGCAGCATTGGATGACCGCACAATTTTCAGTTAAAGTAGCGCAGCGCCATAACGCAAAAAATGGCCTGCTCAGGAAGGGGGGTAAATCATCAGGAGGGTCAGTGCCAGGGGCGGACTGACCATTTGGAAACTCGGGCACTGCCGAGGGTCAGTAGGGGGCCCCATGAGATGCCCCTGATACCTTTTTCATAGGTTTTTTTGAGTTTGGGCAAGGACACAGGGGCCCCATGATCCCCTATTGCCCGGGAGCCCCATGAGTTGTCAGTCTGCCCCTAGTCAGTGCTTAAGTAATGAATGAGTAAGGACTGTTTTTGGAGAATAAGGATATTGTTTAGTGTCACATTATTTTAACATTCCCAGTATTAGAAATAATTGAATACACTGTAATTCACTGAATCTAGATTTGTATTGATGGATAAGCCAAGCTGAAATCTGGCTCCTTCGATATTTCACTTTGCATTTTAACAGGACTTCAGGCAAACAGTTGGGGCATAAATACACAAGAACGGTGCTACAGATCCTACAGCCGACAGCAATATTACTCCATCGATAATGAAATGTCTGCAGAGCACAATTATGCATAGGAGAGTCCGGCCGAATCATTTCTGATTGTTTTAGTCTTGGCTCTTGCTATAATCACGAGGAATCTTTGGTCTTTGGCCGCTGGGCCAATTTCTCTCTAACAAACAACGGTCAACGGCAGCTCTGAGGGGACAATAAGTCAGCTGTTCTCATGCCTGCCGGACACACTGTCCAGTGTCATGGTTCTGTTGTGCATTGCTATGTCATTCTATCCTGGAAATGCCTGGAGCTTTGGTTCAACTTGACCCAATTTAGGAGAAGCAGGACAAAATACAATGGCATACTGTAATAGTTCTGTAGTACTTTGTTCGGAAGCAAGTTTTGTCCAGGAACGGAATATAATTAAAAGTCATAGAATATCTTTTAAAGGGGATTGTATAATCTTTATAAGATATACAGTCGCAAGAAAAAGTATGTGAACCCCTTGGGATTACGTGGAGTTTTGCATGAATTGGGCATAAAATGTGCTCTGAACGTCATCTAAGTCACAACAATAGAAGAACACAGTCTGCTGAACATAATACTACACAAACATTAGATGTGGCCATGGTTTAATTGCACATAACATGTAAACATTCACAGTGCAGGGAGGAAAAAGTATGTGAACCTTTGGACTTAATAACTGGTTGACCCTCCTTTGGCAGCAATAACCTCAACCAAACGTTTCCTGTAGTTGCAGATCAGACCTGCACAACGATCTGGAGTCATTTTGGACCACTCCTCTTCACAAAACTGTTTCAGTGTAGCAATATTCTTGGGATGTCTGGTGTGAATCGCTCTCTTAAGGTCATGCCACAGCATTTCAATCGGGTTGAGGTCGGGACTCTGACTGGGCCACTCCAGAAGGCGTATTCTGTGCTGTTGCAGCCATTGTTTTGTTGAATTACTTGTATGCTTTGGGTCATTGTCCTGTTGCATCACCCATCCTCTGCGGATCTTCAGTTGGCGGACAGATGGTCGTACGTTTTCCTGCAAAATGTCTTGATAAACTCTGGAATTCATTTTCCCATCAATGACAACAATCCGTCCAGGCCCTGAGGCAGCAAAGCAGCCCCAAACCATGATGCTCCCTCCGCCATGTTTTACAGTGGGGATGAGGTTTTGATGTTGGTGTGCTGCGCCTTTTTTTCTCCACACATAGTGTTGTGTGTTCTTCCCAAACAACTCAATCTTGGTTTCATCTGTCCACAATATATTCTGTCAGTAGTGCTGTGGAACATCCAAGTGCTCTTTTGCAAACTTCAAATGTGCTGCAATCTTCTTTTTGGACAGCAATGGCTTCCTCCGTGGTGTCCTCCCATGTACTCCATTCTTGTTTAATGTTTTCCTTATTGTAGATGTGTCAACAAAAATGTTAGCATGTGCCAGAGATTTCTGTAGGCCTTTAGCTGACACTCTGGGATTCTTCTTTACCTCATACAGCATTCTGCGCTGTGCTCTTGCAGTCATTTTTACAGGACGACCACGCCTAGGGAGAGTAGCAACAGTTCTAAACTTTCTCCATTTGTAGACAGTCTGTCTTATCGTGGACACATGAACATCAAGGCTTTTGGAGATACTTTTGTAACCCTTTCCAGCTTCATGCAAGTCAACAATTCTTGATCATAGGTCTTCTGAGAGCTCTTTTCTGCGAGGCATGGTTCACATCAGACAGTGCTTCTTGAAACCAGTAAATCCGAAACAGGTGTGTGTTTTTTAAGGGCAGGACAGCTGTCAGCAACACATCCAATATCATCACACTGATTGGAGTCAAGGTTGGCTCACTCCTGGCTCCAATTAGCTCTGGGAGAAGTCATTAAGCTAGGGCCTCACATACTTTTTCCTCCCTGCACTGTGAATGTTTACATGTTATGTGCAATTAAACCATGGCAACATCTAATGTTTGTGTAGTATTATGTTCAGCAGACTGTGTTCTTCTATTGTTGTGACTTAGATGATGTTCAGAGCACATTTTATGCCCAATTCATGCAAAACTCCACGTAATCCCAAGGGGTTCACATACTTTTTCTTGCAACTGTATGTGTATAAGATTGATATGTTGTGGTATCTGTGTTGTTTTTCACAACTATGTATAGTTTGTAAATGTACTGTATATGTACAAGGGGATTGGAATAATCATTTTTTGTTTATTGCATAGTCAGGGGTTGATTTACTAAAGGCAAAAATAGGATGTTCACTTTGCAAGGGAATATAGAGGAATATGCTTTGTTCATATTTCATGTCTGAGATTTATAACCACTTTGAAGAAGATGTAAACTTAATGGCCCAACAGTACAAATATACTCTATGAATATAGCAATAGAGGGGTGTTTATCTCAGTGGTGCTGAGCGTTTCAATGAGTCATGTCAGTAAAAACTGCGGTTAAGGGCTTGCTGGCCCACTTTTATTACACAATCAAAAAGGAAAAACAAAAGGAGTGATCTACTAAATGCCGGTTCACATATATGCAGATTGGATGTGGTTTGAGCCGCTTCCAATCCACATGACATGGACATAACATTGCTTCCTTTGGTGCCTGTTCACATATGCCCGGTGCACTGGCGGTGCGGATTCAGTGTGAATTGAAAAAGAGTCCTGTCCGATTTCTGAGCAGTGCGGTCCAGTTCATGTACCCAATCACATGCAAGGGAAATAAAATAGCATTTTTGCTTGAACACGATTGGATGATGGACATCAGTAGAACTTCACCTCCTTCACTAAGCTCTGGAGAAAATTTTCTAGCAAAGTATAACTTCCCTTACAAAGTGAACAGACTATTTGCCCTTAGGGAATCAACCCCACGGTCTCTATTTCTTGTTTTGCCATGCTACATTTTATGGCCCCTTTACACAGTACAAGTTCAAAACCGGATAACAAAATAAACTCTCCAGCACTCTAGGGGTCAAATGCCAAAGGAAAGCCAGGGGAACCAGGACCAAAATCGCTTATGGATAGCCTTTCGGAGATGATGCCCTCCTCAGATAGGGAAATCAACAACTGAAAAAAGAGCAAATAGGAGGTGCAAACCCCTAGTGCATTATCCAAGGTTTATTAAAGGTAAAGAGGATGAAAACATACTCACAAACATGGCATAAATGTAAAGCTTAGTAGAACGGTAGAGATGGCCATAAAGTGGCGGGGTGGCCAAATTTTCAGTATGGTCGGCCTCTGACGCATTTTACCAGCTCTGAGGAAAGGGACTCATCCTCAAAATGCGTCAGAGAGCCGACCATACTGCCAGTCGGACACCCTCCCACTGTTAGGACGAAAACATACTCACAAACATGGCATAAATGTAAAGCTAGTAGAACAGTAGAGATGGCCATAACAGTGGAGGGGTGTCCGACTGTCATTATGGTCAGCTTCGTGACGCATTTTACCAGCTCTGAGGAAAGGGACTCCTCCCCAAAATGCACCAGTAAGCCGACCATACTGACAGACAGACACCCCGCCACTGGTATGGCCATCTCTACCATTCTACTAAGCTTTACATTTATGCTATGTTTGCGAGTATGTTTTCGTCCTAACAGTGGGAGGGTGTCCGACTGTCAGTATGGTCGGCCTCTGACGCATTTTACCAGCTCTGAGGAAAGGGACTCATCCTGAAAATGCGTCAGAAAGCCGACCATACTGACAGTCGGACACCCTCCCACTGTTAGGACGAAAACATACTCATAAACATGGCATAAATGTAAAGCTAGTAGAACAGCAGAGATGGCCATAACAGTGGAGGGGTGTCCGACTGTCAGTATGGTCGGCTGCTGACGCATTTCACCAGCTCTGAGGAAAGGGACTCCTCAACCAAAATGCACACCAGTAAGCCGACCATACTGACAGACAGACAACCCACCACTGGTATGGCCATCTCTACCATTCTACTAAGCTTTGCATTTATGCTATGTTTGTGAGTATGTTTTTGTCCTAACAGTGGCGGGGTGTCCGACTGTCAGTATGGTCGGCTTGCTGATGCGTTTCGGGGAGGAGTCCCTTTCCTCAG